GCAGCTACTGGGGCCAGCAGGGGGCATGGTGGCTAAGCTGCTGGACTACCACATGGTCAACTGCAGTTTGAGTCCTGAACCTGGTGGCATGAAACTTAGGCCAGACGTGCATGCCCAAGAGTCCAGGAGAATGGAGAAGGGGTTGCGGTATGTCCATTCCTGGGGATGGGGAAGGATTTCTCACTCCCTTTCACTGTCTCTGTCTCTCTGGTAAGTGCATGTACCCTATAGCAAAGACCTTATGAAGGGGGGGGGCTGGCAGGTGCACAGTGGTGAAAGCAGCTGGACCCCTACATGGGTGGCCACGATTCAAGTCCGAGACCTGGCAGCTTGCTTTCTCATTTTCCTTCTCTCTCTATCTCTCTCTGGTCAACTTCAAAAATAAATAAATAAATAAATAAATAAATAAATAAATAATGACAATGAATAAAATAAAGGAAAAGAAAAAGAAGAGCAGCTACAAACAAGCCTGCCAGCAGGGTGTTTTCATTTTCCCCCTGTTGGTTTTCGTTTAAAGGGCTCGTTACGGTGTTTGCTTTCCACAGAGAGGCCTTCCTACAAGGATGTCCCTGGTGGGGCTTTGAATATGAGGCGTCTGCAGCCCTAAGCACAGCTTACCGGTCCTAGCCCTCTGGGGCCTGCAACCACTGCTCAGAACAGACCCTACGACTCCTGCCAGGGAGTGCTGCTTTTTCTTGGGCTTCCTGGCCCCGCAGTGACCGTGCTCTGAGCAGCAGGTGCCAGGACTGAGCGGCTGAGGGAGGGTACAGCCTGGGAGCCCCATCTCTCCCTGTCTTCCTGTAGAGAGGCCGAGGCTCTCCATGCCCACCCTCAGGACAGAGGCAATGGCGTCTAAGAATGACCTGCAGTGCACCTTGATACCATCTCCACACCAGGAGCAAAGATGGAGCTGCTGGTCTGGGACACTGCTTTCTCAGAGCTGCCCCTCTTGGCTTGGTGACACTTGTGTGACGTGGAGTCACGTCAGTTCACGTTACTGTCCCATCCCCTCTTCAGAGACTGAGTGCAACTCCCAGCTGCTTGGGGCTCTGCCCCCCCCTTCCCACCACTCCAGCACACCTCAGGAGGCAGCGGGGGGCTTCTAAGCGTGCCATCCCACACTGGGAAGTGTGTCAGGTGACGAGGGTCACAAGTAACCACTTACTATCTAATTTGGGTACAAATAAGAGGCCTGCAGAGGCCGTAAGGGGCAGGCAAGGCCAGGCCCCTGTGCCTTCACACTCCTGGCCTGGACTTGCCCTGCCATCCTGGAGGCCCTCACCCAGGCACTGGCATGCAGGGGCAGGTCACCTAGTGCTGCAGAGGAAAAGTCCAGCTGAAGCCCTTCCTGGGGCAACCACGGTGCCCACGGGGGAGGCCTGTGGTCTGTGAGGCTGTTCTCAGGACCCACACCCACGCCTACTCACGAGCTACCCGTGAGCAGGCACACCTGCCGCTGCCGGGCCTGGGCCTCCCGGGAGGAGGGTGTAGGCTCGGCGCTGGTGTGCGGCGTGTGATCAGCACCGCCCAACGCTGTGCGCTGGCCGGGGCCTCCTGGGAGGAGGGTGCAGGTGCGTTGTGTGGTTAGCACCGCCTGACGCTGTGCGCTGGCCAGGGCCTGCGTCAGGTGCCCAGGAGTGACCATCACCTGAATAGTTGCTGAACAAAATAAAGACCTGTGCCATTTCCATGTCGACTTGCCCGCCTCTTTTCCCAATGGGTCTGCTGTGCTGGGGCCTCCTCTAGGGCTGAGCTGATGCACAACCTGCAGGTGGTCGCCAAGTGGGTGTCAGTGAGGAGGGCATGGGCCAGCAGTACCCATGGGACCCTGGCTTGTCCTGCATCCCTCCCTCCCAGCACCCGGTGTATCACTACGGAGGTAGTGCAGGCCCGTGGCAGCTGCCCAGGGGCCTGGCAATGCTGCTCAGCTGTACCCCCTTGCTGGCCCAGCTTTCCAGAGTTCTGCGTGAACCACCTGCTTGCTCTCCATGGAAGGGAGGATGGGAGCAGGTGGCAAGAAAACTGGAGACTGGCCTCAGGAGGTGTGGGGGTGTAGGTAGCCAGGGTTCCACTTGTAGTCTCAGGAGACACAGGTGGTTGGGAGCTGCTGGTGGAGGACTGTGGAGGCCAGTGCTGCCCTGGCCACACACAGAGTGACAACAAGGTCACTTAGTTGAAAGCAGGAAGGCGGCTTGTCCTAGGACACGGAGGGGCCGGGAGCTGCACTGGGGAGGGTCGACCTGCTTGTCTGCCGGCGGCTTGTCCTGCACGGAAGCAGTTCCTGGTGCTCCCCACGTGGTGTGGGAGGTGCCTAGAGACCTGGGGCATGAAGAGTGATCAGTGTGTCCCTCCGGGGGCGGGTGGGTGCCCTGCTCAGCCCTCTCTTTGACTGCCTTGCGATTCTCCACTCAGTTGGCGCCTCCATACCGAGCCATGGTTCTCAGGGCCATGGAGAAGGTCCTAAGCAACCACGCCAGCGAGCTGGACAAGGACACAGCCAGCAGCGTCATCCTCCTGGCCTCCAGCGAGATGACGAGGACAAAGGTAGGTGGCCCTCTGTTCTCGTAGGTGGGCCTGGCCCAGGGCTGTGGCCTTCCCAGGGGCTCTTCTGCCCAAGTGTCTGGAATACAATCTGCATCTAGGTCTTTTAGGGCTGGCAGAGTCCCCTTGTCCTATGACCACCCTCCTGGGGCAGGAGATGGCCACCCGTAATTTCAGGGGCGGAAGGTGAAGCAGAGAGCTGGGCCTCGGCTGTCAGTGAAGGCGGGGCACCACTGCCGGCACAGTTGGACCAAGGGCACATCCAGGGTTGGCATTGCCACTCAGGGCCGCTGTCTGGGTACTAGCCACCTGCCCCTCCCCCCAACCTGTGCATCTCTGGTGGCTGTAGGGGCTCCTGGGGGCCGTGTGTGCAGCCCCTCTGACCTGCACGTAGTGGGCAAGTGCTGTTGTTGCTGCTGCTGGGACTGGGGCCTGGTGACTGGGAGGCCGCGGCCACCCACTCCTGGTTTGGGCACAGGACTTGGCGTGTGACTGGCAGCAGGCGGCAAGTGGCGTCCTGGTGGCTGTGGGGACACGCTTCATCAACAGGGTGATGGAGGAGCTGCTGGGCAAGCTCCAGCCCGGGGTCCTGCCACACTGCTCTGTCGTACGGACCTTCGCCAGCCTCGCTGCAGACAACGGTAGGTGAGGGCCAGCCTGGCTCCCTTCCTCGCCTCGCCTCGCCTCTGCTGCTAGAGCTGCAGGGTGAGCTGGGCCGGGGCAGGCCGGTAGTCCTGGAGCTGACTGCTGGTGCCCTCTTGCAGCCTTTGGCATGGTGCCCTTCCTGCCGTCCATCCTGAGCACCCTGCTGCCCGTGCTGCCGCAGGTCAAGCACGACGCTGTGAGGGCGGTGTACTGCTATGGTAAGACGGCGGCGCCTGTGTCTCAGGGCTGCAGGCGGGTCCCCCAGCACATGCAGGAAGGGCCCCGGGGGCTGCCGTCTGCTGCTGGGGATCCCTACCATCACACTGGCCCAGGAGGCCTGGACGGCCCAGGACAGGAAGCGCTGCACCCCCCACAATGAGCTGGAAGAGTGGCGGGCATCCCCGCCTCCCACCTTCTTGCAGGGCCCATTGCTGGAGGCCTGTTTGTGGCCTCTGCTTGGCAAGGGACTCCGTGTGTCCTGGGCCTGCATCTTGATGTGTCCCCTGGGGACCTGTGGTAGGTGTGGCTGTTGGAAACCAGGGCCATTACTGCTGGGAAGGAGTTTGCTCTGCAGACACTGGCAGGGCACCTTTAGCCAGGCCCTCACAGCCCCTAGGCTCGGTCTCCTCGTGTCCTAGCATCTGTGCCAGGAGGACTGCTGATGCCGCTGCCTGAGAGGGAGGGCGGAGACAGGCTGGGGTGAGTCTAGTCCCTGGAAGGCTGGGACTCTTGGGTCTCAGGTTAGTCCTCAGCCCTCCTCGACAGAGGTCTATTAAGAGGTTCTTTGCCTGGGACCAGCAGTTGGCATAATGGCTATGTCGCTGGACTCCCACGTAGCTGACCACGATCCCGGACCTGGTGGCTTAAACTCACACTAGGCACGTGTGCGTGCGTGTCCCAGATCCCGAGAGGAGAATGGAGGAGAAGGGATTTCAGTGTGGCCATCCCCCCTGAGGGGTGATTTCTCGCTTTCTGTCTCTCTGTTTCTCTCTGTCTCTCTGGCGAGCTCATGCACCCTATAGTGAAAACCTCTCCCCAAAAAAAAGAGGTTCCTTGCCAGAATCTCGAAAGGAGAGTAGTGGCCACGCCCCCTGGGGGTCATTCCTCACTGCCTGCCTTTCTGTGGCTCTGAGAAGCACACGCGCCCTATAGCAAAACTCCAAAAAAATGTTTTAAAAAGGACCCTGATCTCTCCCAGGTGCGAGTATGAGGGTCTGTGGACGTGGCCTGGCTAGGACTATCTAGCTTGAGCTTGGCCCTGGGCCTGATTTGAAGCTTTGGGCCCAAGCCCACGCTGCCCATGGTGGCTTTGGGCCCGAGGTCTAGCTGCACTCGGACCCAGTCTGGGGGCAGGGGTTGTTCTAGCGACTGCCTCCCCTGCACTCCTGTCTGCCCTTCCTCTTCTGTGCCTTTATCTCGAGGGCTTCCTCTGCAGCCCACTGCCCACTGTGGTCTTGGCCCTTCCCTGGCTTGGCCTGATTTTGTAAAGAAAAACGGGTTTGGGGCAGCCCCCCAGCCGGGAGTGAGAGCAGGACCTGGAAGTGGCGGGTGTGGACCTGGGGAGCAGTGGCTGCTGCTGTGCGCAGGGCAGTGGGCGCCCCCTTTACCACAGTGACACTCTTCACAGGTGAGGCAGGGGCGGTACCCGACAGGATGGCATCTCTGTTGGGGGCACGTGGTGCCTC